TATAAGCTGTGTTAAAATGTTATCAGAATATCTTTTTAAATTTTAAATTTTTCCCTTAGAAACACTGTACAGTGTGGGCTAGAATATGGATTTCACTCCCTGCTGCCCTGATTTGGGCAACTCAACAGGAAATGTACAGAGCTTTTATGAATTGTGTTAAATGCTATTCCAGTTAAATCAGAAAGGCACAGGACCTTGATTTTATACCTGTACTCTTTAGGGGTTTTTTTTACAAAGAATTTCCCATATACTATGAAAACTATTCTTTTTAATGCACTGAATTTTGTCTTTAGTGTTGTCAAATATATTTTAAATCTTTAGTGTTGTCAAATATATTTTAAAGTAATAAATACACAATGGTAAAAATGAAAAATAAACAGGAAAATATGAAATGAAAGGTGGAAGTCTCAATCTCCTCCTTCACCCTCACCCACCACATCAACCAGTTTATGTGTCTTCCAGGATGTTTACATACATAAATATATACATTACATATGAACATGAATATACATTGTGTTGTATTTTCTTTATACTGATGGGATTCTGTAATATATGTCTTTTATTCCTTGTTCTTTTTGCTTAATCCATTTATCCCATTGTCTCAGTTGTGGAATACCTCTTGAAAAAAAAATTGAGCAGCAACTATACCACTTATGGTAAATTTGAAATAATTATTATTTTTAGGGGCCTGTTCTTTTGAGAAAAGAAATAGGTGAATGATTACAGCATTTGAGAAAAATATATATTTAAGTATATGAAAATATATACAAGCTCTATATTATGATTTCTAATCTATTGTAATGTACCTGAGTGGATTTCATTGAAATGTTTGTAGAATTGAAAACCTGGGACTAAATGGGTTGACAGGTCTGAGAATTCTATCTCATTCTTTCTTGATAGATGCATAGAACTCCTTTCTTGTATATGTATAACTTAATCAGTTTCCTATTAATGGGCTTTTAGCTTCTTTGTCATTCTTAGTTGTTAGACATAATGCAACATACACTCTTCTTCCCGCATGTTTTGCATAGATACTAGGATAAGTATGGGTTCCATTTCTTGAGGTAGAATTGTTGCTTCAAAATATGGGCATATTTTTACCTTGAGAGAGTGTTGAATTGCCTTCTGAGAAGGTTGCCTGAACTTGTATTTTCATAGGTAATTTGAGTGTACCTGTTTCCCTACACCTTCACTAGCTCTGCATACTGTCCAGGATGTTCATCTTTACCGATCTGGTAGATAAAGAGGATGTTGTAAATGGCCTGTATTGGCTCTGACTGAAGCGGGATATTCCATGTGTTTGTCAGCCATTTTATTTCATCTTTTCTTAAAACCACAGGCTCAGAACAATCTCTTTTCTGTTTTTTGTAATTTGTAAAAACTTTTTTATAGTTGACATAAATTGTCCCCTTGTAATATGCTTCTCAAGCATTTTTTTCTATTTTTGCTGAGGCCTTTTTGGGGTTTGGGGGTTTTGTTGTTGTTGTTTTTTATATACTTATAAGAATTTCTAATACTTTTTTTTTTTACTTTTATTTCCTAATTCTTTACATGATAAAATCAGTATCTTTTTTTCTTACACCATCTAAGAAATGTGAAGCCTTTTTGAGATTCTTTTAATTGAACAATTTGCAAGAAGAATTTATATTGAACTTACATTTGAGCTCAGAGAAATTCCTAGTGCTATAACCACCTCTTTTCTATTCTACCACCAGAGGAGTGTGGTTAGCTTAGATGTTTTCCACAAAGAATGCCTCTGAAAAGAATGCAGCAAAAGCATGTAGTAATCATTTATAAAATTCTACCTCCCAAGGAGACCTTAAAAGATAAATAGTTCTGAGGACTTCCATATTCCCCCCGTGTATGTGTAGAAGGGCCATGCTGAAAGACCTGCTTATAGGAGAGTGATGCAGAGACCTGGGCAAGAAGCCAGCACATAAAGACATAAATACATTCTCCACATTTAACAATGGGGGGGGTATCTTTAAAAGACCTATTTTCTGACATAAAGGTGAGATTAAACTCTAGACTTCAAGGAAAGAAAAAAATACACTAGATAGATAGAGAATATAAAAAGTGAAAAAAATTAAATAACTGTATGTGTGTATATAGTTCACATTCTGTAGTGAACTCTTTGCATTTTTTCTGTAATCACAGTGGACACAAACCCCTTGAGGAACCCATTCTCTTCTCCCCATTCTCATTACACTTCAACATATAAATTAGACCTAGCCCCTTACTTAGTTTTTCTAGAAATAACTATAGTCTTTTAAAGAAGCAAAGAGTTTTTTCAAGAGGTCCTAGAGAAGTTTTGCTTCCTGCCACCTGCCTGTTCCTAACATAAATCCTAATTTGTGAATTGCTTTCTTATATTCTAATTTCAGAAAATGATGTGCCTGCCATTATATTTGCAGTCATTCTTTATTTCAAAGAATTAATAGCCTGATAATTGATACACCTAAAGCAGTATTGTACAATAAATTCAGGGACTTGAATATTTGTTGATTATAATTTAAATGATTATACAATACATATAAAAACTTACTTCCCAAAAAATTGACATATGTCCTAAAATACTCATTTGGGGATAATCATAGCATATTAAGAGTTTTAAGGAAAGAAAGAATGTTTCAAAATAAATTTATGTTTATTTCTGATATTTTATATATAAAGGTTTGAAATCACATGGAATATGTACAATGTAATTGGTAAATTAATATGTATTAGTGAGATTGCAAATAGAAATAGTGGGTTGAGTAAATAATATTGTAGAGTATCAGTGTTTGCCATTATTTGGAAGGAGGGAGAAATAGGTTATTAAAAATTAATTTATAGAAATGTTTATGGAAAAGTATTTCTAAAACAAATTGTACAACATAATTACTTTTATCTTAGTTTCAGTGAAACCAAGTTACAGTGGGCTTTCTAAACATATTCATTTTACTTAATTTAATAAAGGGGCTATGTCATTTTTTAAATGCTCATCTACTGGTCTGTGTATGTTTTAAAGACATGAGCATGTAAACAAAAATAGTCATTATGTTATTTAGAGTGATTTTAGTACCAAGAAAGTGCTACATCTCAGTATAATTTTGACTTGTTTCTCATTACAGCTTGTCACACATACTAATTTTATTAATAATGCTATAATAAGCAAATATTTGCTGATAACTTTTTATACTTGTAAATGGTGAAGAGCTGATTTTGACTGGGTGCAGTGGCATCTGTCTGTAATCCCAGTGACTCAAGAGGCTGGGCCTGGAGGATTGCAAGTTTCTAGGCCAGCCTCGGTGATTTAGGAAAGTCCTCAGTAACTTAGTGGGATCTATCTCAAAATAAAAAGGTCTGGAATGTAGCTCAATGGTAGAACACTCCTATTTTCAATCACCAGTATCCCCTACCCCCCCCCCAAAAAAATATTCATTTTGTTACTTTTCCTATGAAATCAGAGTAAATGTTCACGGTATTTTTCACATAACATGGATTCCTTTGAAGAATTCAGCCTGGTGTCCTTACAGAGTGAGTATACAGCATTCTGAGAAAGATGCAGAAAGCTTTGTTCTTACTTCACATCAGAGTGTGCTGGTGGGAGCTCAGGGGCTGCTGAACATCTGGTCCTAGGCTTGCCTCTGCCCAAGTGTGAATGATGTTCAGTCTTCACTAAATCAAGAGTATTTGTAGAGCTGGGGATGGAACTTAGTGGTAGAGTGCTCACCTAGTAAGCAGGAGGCCCTGGGTTCAATTCCCAGCACTATCACCAAAAAAAAGTATTGATGGCTCTATGGAGTATTCCAGTCACCCATCATACTGATGGAATTGCCAAGGACTAGATACATTCACCCATCCACTTTATGTCATCATTAACAAAAACATTTCCTACACTTTTGTCTGAGATCCTCATGAGCTTCATAAGGAAATAGAGCTTATTCATTGCTGAAAAGAATGTAAAATGTGCCAGTGAAGAAAAAGCTAAAATCTTTGAAATTCAGACAGTTTTGTAGCCTCAATTACTATGTCATCTCTAGAGGTATATCCGCTTCCATGACCTTCCCTGGCGGGCTAACCTTCCTGATGTTTTGAAGGGTCCAGTGGAGCCTAATGCTTCTCATACACTGCTTGTCATTGGTCCTTGAGGCATGGCCATGTCAGTGTGGGGGGTGTATGACAACACTGCCCTGTGGCTCCCTACAGCCCCAGGGAAGTAGCTCTCTGCTGGGAGTGGATCACATTTCCCTTCAGGCTCTGTTTTCTCAGTTGTGAAATGAGAAGGTCTGGCTGGATAATATCCTAGTTATGAGATCTTTCAAAACTGTGATCTTCATTTTAGCAAGTCGGAACCAGTGCTAAAATCAACATTGTTTCATTTAATTTCTTCCCATGTCACATTGCTATCCAGGGTAGGTAATAATCATTCACTTTAGAGACTCTAAGTATTTATTAACTTCCTTGCCACTCCTCACTAAGCAACATATAATTATCACTCATATTCAGGCCCATTTGCTTTTAATTGTGATTTGATTAACTAAGCTAACAGGATGAGAACAATTCTATCTTTTTATAATTAGTTACTATGTTAATTATTTGCCATCTTTTTTAAAGCAAATGTGTGCTAACTGACTTCAGATATGTTTGTAATGTTTATATTTTCTCTTGCTTATATTTGGGTTATAACCTTAGTTGGTATTCTAACTTAAGTAACAAATGTGCTCACTAATACTGAAAAATCACCAACTGTTGAGCATCATAATATAGAATACACTGATTTACTTGTTTACAAAAAGAATGTTCGTTTTTGAAATCTACCTTTTCATCATGAGTTCCTTATGTAAACATTAGCCATTAGCAGTTTTAATCAGAATACTTTAAATGACTTAAAACTACTGATTTTATACATTTTCTTTATACTAGAGAGAAGCTTAACAAGAATCTGTATGTGGGTTCCTTTAAAAACAACAGATTTTGGTTTGGTTTCATTTGGTTTTGTTAAAAAAGTAAAAAAGATTCTTTTCAGTTCATAAGCCTGATAATTAGGTATTCACACTGTGGAGATGTGCCTCCCTCTAAAGCTCGTCATGATGTCAGCACATTACCTATCTGACGTGAAGGAGAAAAAAAAGAAAATGATAGCAAATAGTAAAATAATATTCCTAATAACAAATGTTTTTAGTTTACTGATAATACTCAAATCTTATATCGTAAAATTTCCAATATTTTCCTATAAAAGTCATCTGTGAATTAGTAGAGGTGTATGTCAAAACAGTGCCTAAGCATCCACCGTTTTTACAGTAAGTACTTTATATAAACACTCTATTAGGTTACACGTAGAGGTATGAGATTCAGTGTACCCTGCCTCCTAAGAGCCCATCTTGCATTTAGTAAGATGGAGCAGTCTACAGGGCTGGAAAAAAGGGTGTGAACCACTATTGGGTCATTTAACGATGGGATGCATACTGAGAGATGTGTCTATCCATTTTGTCACTGTTTGAACATCATAGAATGTACTTACACAAATGAAGATAGCCACAAAGTCACTAGGAAGTATGATCTGTGGGAGCACCATAGTATTTGGTCCATCATTGACTAAAACATCCTTATGCAGCATATGATTGTATATTTTTAAATGAATATTATATAATAATAAGAAGCATTCTTTATTTGATCACCATTATAGAATAGATTACTGTTGGGGAGTGAATTTCACAGTATCAAATCATTTAATTTTTTTTTTTAATAGAAACATTGCCAAGAAAACTAGTACGTACACACATACACAGACCATACCTTGGCATCCCTCTTCTGTAAAACTTAATGGTTTTGATGTTTAGATTTACCACTTGGTCCTGTTGGTTAGGATTTTAATTAGAGCTTGGGTTCTTAACCTCATCATGATTTTCTTGGCTATTAATTGAGTTCATTATCCCACCCCTAGGCCTACGGAGTTCCTATGCTAGTCAGCACAGTCAGCTTGGGCAAGACCTTCGTTCTGCTGTGTCTCCTGACTTGCACATCACTCCTATTTATGAGGGGAGGACCTATTACAGCCCAGTGTACCGAAGCCCAAACCATGGAACCGTGGAGCTCCAAGGATCACAGACAGCGCTCTATCGCACAGGCTCAGGTGGCTTCCTTATTTCACTGGCCCAATAGTAGAAGGGTTTTACTGAGATTGGGATTCCAGTAATGTTGTCACATTACTTATGTGACAACTAAATGTTGCTCATTTAGTTGTCACATAAGTAATGAAACAGAAGTTTATTTCATATCTTTGTATAATCTAATGAACATTGAGATTATACTGTTAATTCAGGAATAAATTTGTAAAGGTACAAATCTGATTCTCCTTGGATTAGAATCATGTTGGAAACAGAAAGGAAAGCCTTTGCTGAAATATTTCTTTGTCATTTTGTTGCCTGAAACAAGTATCGAGAATCCATACAGGACTGACTTGGTTGTCTTTGATTTAGCACAGATGGAGCCCAAGTGTATTTGGCATTACCCTTTTTCAGATGTTGGATTTCCTCTGAATACTTAAATATGAAATGTGAAAAAGATATCTCTTTTCATGGACTCCAACTGGTACAGGATGTAGTAGAAGCACGTATAAAAACAGGGAGCTGGGGCATTGCACCCTCACATCCCAGCCTTTATATTCATTCCACCCCATAGCAACTGATGAATCAGAAGCTATAGTTCATGGTGGTGTGAGCTGCCAGATCACACTACAGGGCTGGTTTGTGGAATCTTTAAAAAAAAAAAAAGAATAATAATATGCTTAATAATATGCACGTGCACACACACACACACACACAAAAAAAAAAAAAAAAAAACTCCTGCATCAGTGATATCAAGGGCTTACCTTAAGACAACTACCTCCCAGAATTTCAAAACAAAGACGACTGTATTTGAATTGGTTCTTGACCAGAAACTGACAGCTTAGTCCACTGAGAGGTTTTTCTTCTAGTAGAATGTACCAATTTTTACTAGATGTTAGTAAGAAATATATTACTTATTTTTATGTTCTATAAGTAGGGAATTTCTATAATAGAATTAAGAAACAGGGCTGGAGTTGTAGCTCAGTGGTCAAGTGCTTACCTTGCATGCATGACGCCCTGAGTCTGGCCCCCAGCACCACATAAAAATAAACTAATAAAAATAAAGATATTGTGTCCATCTACAACTAAAAAAAACTTTTATAAAAAAGAAACTGTTAAAATATTTGTAATGCCAGGAAAAAGTATGTATACAATCATTGGAGTGATACCTGTTGCAATAATTAGTACAGAAATGTTAAACACAGTGGACATTGTTTTTATATATATCATCATGCATTAATTTATGAGAGTATCTATAGAATAATTGATATATCAGTCTTTATTGTGAAATAGATTTTCCCATTTTATCAAGATCTATAGGTCTAGAAATAAAGTGTATATCAAAACAAGTAACCTGTGTACACTAAGTATTGAAAAGTTTGATGGTTTCAGTTATTTACAAAGTTAAATATAAGATGTTGTTATTTATCACTAAAATGAAAGTAATGACTTTTGCTTTTATCATTTATTTTTGAGATTAATTTTTTGTATTTCTCTTGGACTTTTAAGTTACTGAATCTTAATAAACATGTTAAGATCTATTATATAAGCAGATTTATAGTTTCATATTGTTCTTTCCTGCTAATAAAATTACCATAATATTGTTCATATATTAAAAATTAAGTCCCTTTTTTAGTGTTAGTGAGCTAGATTTGTAAAAATCTAAAAGTAAACAATTTATACAATTGCCTAAAACTGTAATCCTTCTTAAATTTAAAAAATGTTTTACCTTTTAAAAGTCTGACCTCATGCCATGCATGGTGGTACATTCCTGTGACCACTCAGGAAGCAGAGACAGGAAGATCCCAAGTTTAAGGCTGGCTCCAGCAACTTAGTGAGACCCTATCTCAAAAAAAACATAAAAAACAGTCTGGGAATGTAGCTCAGTGGTTAAGCACCCCTGAGTTCAATTTCCAGTGCTGTGGGAGGGAAAAAAAAAGGATGACCTCATGGAGAACACACTAATCTTTTTCAAAATGTTGACTTTTTGTTAGGTGTTGGAAATCTACAAAGGACATCCAGCCAACGGAGTACCCTTACATACCAAAGAAATAATTATACTCTAAACACAACAGCTACCTATGCGGAGCCCTACAGGCCAATACAATACCGAGTACAAGAGTGCAATTACAACAGGCTTCAGCATGCAGCGCCAGCTGATGATGGTACCACCAGATCCCCGTCAATAGACAGCATCCAGAAAGACCCCAGGCAAGTACCAGTCGGGGTCTCCAGAGTGCTACAGTATAACAGGAGTTAGCCGTTCTTTCACTCTGACATTTTAGGTTATCATGTCTGTTATATCAGTATTTCTTATCTGTAATACATCCAGTTGTGTTCCAGCGGGGTAAGGTCAGTGAGGCTAATTTCATTTTAAAGACAGATTACCTCTTTCCATGCTTTAATTATAAGTTATGGAATGCACAGATCTATGGGAGTATCTGCAGCATTCATCATTCAAACACTTGAGCCAGACAACTACCTAGAATTAAACAAAAGACTTTGAAGGATCATTTCATCCCTGTTCCTTTATCCTGACTGACTTCTTAAACAAAGACTTCAGAAAATTTATGTTATTCTAAACTGTGAAAGACCAATATGGTATATATTTTTAATCACATTGGTCAGTGCTATAGATGTTTCATTAACTAGGTCCTTTGAAAAGCTTTTTGACATTTTAGAAGAAAATAGCTTACAAGAAATTGTCATGTACTAAGCAAAAAATATTTGACAAATAATAGATGTTTCCTTTTTTTTTAACTTTGGCCATGTAGACAATGTTTTTTAAGGTAAGTGTGAGTCCTTTAGTACTTGATTAATTTTGAAAAACTGGCCTCATCTTTAATGAAAGTCATTTACTATATTCAGGAAATAAATCAGTATATTTCAAAATTAAAAGAATTTTCATTTCTGAAAAAATGAAAGTGTTACCAAGTTTTATGCAGCTTTGGTGTTATTTTAAGGCATGTATTAGCAAGATTTCATTCACACTTCATCCACAAAAATAGTTGTTTTACTGGAAAGTTAATATAATTATCAGTTCATTCTTAGCAACCTACCAGCTAATCCAAATGAATGTGAATTAAAATGAATGAGGTTTTGGTCCTTAAAACAAAATAACTAAAGGTATTATAGAGTTGAATGGAAAGACCACTACACTAAAACCACCTCACCTAATCACTTTTATGTCCAAAATTCTTTGAGGTTTATACATACATTTGGTTTTTCTATTCCTGTTTGCTACCTTTTTGTCATTTTAAGAATTTTTTAAAAATAATTTTTCTAATAGCACCTCCTATATAATTGTTATTAATACTCTTACATTATTTCATTTTTTAAAATCTTCAAAAGACTAGGGCTCCTAAATAGATGCAGAAATTCCCTAAAGGGTTTTGAATTATAATTTTGGCCATACCTTGGCTGGACCTGCAGAGAAAATAAATAGCTGCCTACAAAAGCAATGAAGTGTGATTAGAGCTTTGAGTTTAGTATATGCCCCTGAAGACTTCAGTTTTGACCTCTACTAGGAGATGATTGACTATAAACAAGAATTTCATGTATGATAATGTACTTCAGCTATTCATGGTATGATAATTTCATAGTCTAATGCATAAAACTGTTATGGCTAGCTTTGATTATGTGAAAGCTTTCTGATAATGTGTTTCATAAGATGAATAAATGATTATTTTATAATAATAGGTACATTTATTCCAGCTGAAACTGGAATTCAGGTAAATTTGAGGTTCAAATACTTAAGCCAAAATAAAAAGTTCATGACAACTGTTATTTTTCAGTTTTGAAAACAGCAATTTTAAGTAATACTTTTATTCACTATCAACTTTTCTTTTCCATTAATGCTAAATAATAATTAGTCTGAAAAATTCTCTGTAGACTAAAGAAGTTATTGATGTTTACTATGTAAAAGGAAATCTGTGAGGTTTCATTTGTAGTAGTCTACTTAGAAGCCAGATTTATTAGTAGTACAAATGATGCCTTTAGTATAAAAGT